TTGTTATTTGTTATATAAAAGTTGCTTCAAGTATTCAATTTTCTTGTGAACTGGGGTATTGAGGTTTGAGGTGTCTGTGTTATGCTTAGATTGCTGTAATTTCGCAGGTGATATCGGATTTATAGGATGTGAAAAGTTACTGCAGGTCGAAGGACTGCTTGGAGGGGATTTGTAGGTATATTTTAATGTAGCTGTTCTTGAGATCGGTTCTCCTATTTCTTATGGGCTGTCTTTGTACTCCTCTTCTTATAAATTGATCAGAGATTCAGGATCCAGGTTTGAAGAGTTAGTGCAGGAGTGAGTGCTGGTTGGTGACACCTTCATTTTCTTTTCCTTTAGATTGTTAACCCTGTTTCATAGTCATTGAAGGTTTAAGCCGCATTACTGTTCTCCTTTGCGTTGATAATAGATTCAGGATTTAGGTTTTAAGAGTTAGTAATATCTAGTTTCCTAGGTTGGTAACCTTAAATTTCTTTCTTTTTTTTTTTTCGTACTTGGAGTGTCCCTGGTGGTCAGGGGAAAATTTTGTAGATTTACTGTAATGATTAGTTTATTTATTATTGATACGTAGGGCACAGGATTGCTCAGAAAACAAATAAAGTTTTTTGAGTACAGGAATCATGCTTGGACGTTCTCCAAGGAAGATTAACAATACCAGGTACTATGAGGTCCTTGGGGTCACAAAGAATGCAAGTCTGGATGAATTGAAGAAGGCATACATGAATACTGCCATAAAAAACCATCCACACTATGGTGGTGACCCTGAAAAGGTTGCTGTTTTACTCGTTAACTCGTTCTTGTTTCCTTTGTTGATGCTAAAGTGAAAGTGTGAAACATTGGGATTTCATGGGTTTAGTTTTATGTAAACGTCTGTTAGTTTGTTTTGAATGAGTCTAATTTAATTAGAAGCTGTTTCCTGTCTGCTTATGATTGTAATTTTGAATAGTTCAAGGAGTTGGCTCAGGCCTATGAAGTGCTTAGTGATCCTGAGAAGAGGGTTATCTATGATCAGTATGGCGAAGATGCTCTTAAAGAGGGAATGGGAGGTGGTGCTGGTGCTCACAATCCTTTTGATATATTTGAACAGTTTTTCGGTGGTGGTGGTTTTGGTGGTAAGAGCAATGTCTTTTGAATGAATAATTTAGGTTAGTTTGGAGTCTTTTTTATTATGAAAGGACTTGTGATCCATTGGTTAAAAGAAATGGTTGTATCTGTAACGTTTTGGGTTTGAGCTACATATTTGGTGATTTAAGTTTAATGCTATATTTTTTTTTTTCAGGTGGGGGCTCAAGAGGGCGTAGGCAGAAGCATGGAGAGGATGTTGTTCATACCCTCAAGGTTTCTTTGGAGGACCTTTATAATGGAACATTTAAGAAGCTTTCACTTTCAAGAAATAGGCTGTGTCCAAAATGTAGTGGGTATTACTTCTATCCAATTATACAAATGAGTGAAAATATTGTAGTGAGGTTGAAAGAAGTTTATTATGATGCACAATTCTTATTTAAATTTCTTTTGGTTTTGCGATTCTTTGCAAGAGGTTGTACTCTGGTATATGCTTTTTGTTGATGATATTCTTCTTGTTGACAAGACTAGAGAGGGAGTTGAAGGTAAATTGGAATTATGGAGGTCAACCTTAGAGTCTAAATGTTTTCGTTTGAGTAGATCTAAAATCGAATAGATTGAGTGTAATTTTAGTAGTAATAGATCTAGCGGGGAATTGAGATTTTAGGGGATTAAGTCACTACTAAGAGTACGTGTTTTAGATATCTTGGGTCTATCATTCAAAGTGATAGTGAAATAGATAAGTATATTATTAGTAGAATTCAATTTGGATGGTTGAAGTGGAGGAATGCATCGGGCTTGTTATGTGAGAGAAAAATCTCCAGGGAAAATTCTATAAGATGGTGGTGAAACTTGCAATGCTTTATGGTGCGTAATGTTGGGCATTAAAAGAGAAACATAATATTAAGTGTTGCGGAGATGAGGATGCTCAAGTGTATGAGTGGCTTTACTTTTAGAGACATGATACAAGATGAGCATATACGTGAAAGGTTGGAGTAGCTTTAGTGGAAGATAAGATTAGAGAGAGTCATCTTAAATAGTTTGGTCACATAAAAAGACGGCCTTTTGATGACCCGGTTTGGAGAGTAGATGTAGTAGATTTGACTTATGTTAAGAAAGGTAGAGGTAGACCTAAAAAGACTTGGTTAGAAAATATTAGAAATGATATTTTTTTTTATTAGATTTAAATGAGAATTTGACTTTTAACAGGGTACAATGGAAAGAAATGATTCATGTAGCTGATCCCACGTAGTGGGATAAATACTTGATGTTGTTGTTGTTGTTACGATTTACTTTTAGAATATTGGATAATTTGCGACAACATTAAAAAATTATTATACATTATAATCTCAATAAATGACTCGACACAAGAACTTGACTCAAAATCTGGGTATGAGTTGACCTGATTATTATTCGGGTTAGGTTTGGGTTTGAATTTTTGACCTGATATTATTTGAGTCAACTTTATGTTAACCCGATTACTCAAAATCAACTTGAAATTGACCCGATTACTATTGAGGTTTTGGTTTTGAATAGCTAGCGATACATTGTTAAAATAGACATATATTATTAGGTTAAATAGGTTATATTTGGATTAAGTGGGTTGTGTTAATTCAAAAAATTGCACGATCCATATAATAAATAGGTTAGATAATTTGAGCTAGGTCAGTTTTTAGTCAAAGATTTCGACCCATGTAATAGAAGGCTTGGGGCCGAGTCAAGTAGATTTTGGTTGGGCCAACTTCAAGCTAAACTTGAATCCATCCAACTTACCTACTCGAATTTACATCCCTACTATACTTTATTTTCTCTTGAAATTTTATTTTTTCTAGCATTTTTTATAAGGCTTTAGCCTTGCCTTCTTTGTAAATGTGTTTTTGTGCCCATATTATGCATTTGAGATTGGATTTTTATATATAGTTCTTAAAATCCTTTATAGCTAGAGCTGTCTGGGCATTAGGTCAGATTGATTGTGGATGCCATGATAATCTCACTAGATATGCACTATTTTTTATAGTTGAGATTACTATGGAAGTTTGTCTTCATGTTGAATCATTTGAGTGGTTGATTAAGAATATTGAATGCTATATGGAGTTTCTGTGTCTATGACTGAAACAAAAATTACAATATCTAGCTGGCCTTGTGTTTACATTATGATTACTTGGTGTCTCTAACATCTTTGATAAATACTTGTGATAAATACTATATAAGATTTGTCTCCAATGGATAATCTTTGGTAGACAGTTTTTATTGGGTTATGCCTCTGAAGGTATTGAGGGCAATTTTCATCGGGCTGAATGAAGACTTGCGTTGGAGCAAAATGAAAGTTTACCCTTGTGATATAATGGTGCCTAGCAGAAAGACTTGTTCAATTCCGACCAGCAGAGAAAACCCTGAGGGTGTTTGAACTTTTGCATTTTCCTTGGAAGGAATATGGCCTCCTACTCAATGGCAGTTTTGTGATAACAAGTTAAAATACATATGAAGTTGTTTTGCTACTCAGTTTTGGAATGAAGCTACGGTTGAAGAGTGAAACCAACACTTGTATATTAGAATTTTAGTTTATATGCTTTATTTTTCAAGTTTGTTCGCAATATACCACTTCGCTTTATTCTGTGAGTTTTTCTGCTGCTATATTTGATTCTATGATATCTATCCATAGTGATAGCCTTTTCATCAAAATATTAGTGATGCAAGACTAAACACATATGTAATGTATGTAAAGATTTGCACAACTTTTGATTAGAACAGCAATGATGAAACCATTAGCATTTTAAAACAACGAATAAAACAAGAAAGGGGTCACACCCGTTTAGGCTAAATCACATAACCATAGAGTTGGAAAACTTTCAAAATAAATTAGTAAATCACTTTATGCCGAAATAGTAGCTTCAATACAATCCCTAATCTAACAATGAGAATTAACAAGAATAAAGGCACACTCAAAACTCTACATTTACTAAGCTTAGCAGAAGCAGGGAAAATCGCCCTTCGCGATTATAATCAAGCACAAGATAAAGTTAGATTTAGGAAATATATTGAAAGGGGAAAAGAGAACCTTTGTCACGGTTCGGTGGAGATCCTCCACTCAATGTCTTTAAAGTGCTCGTCACTTGCCTCCACCAACGTGTCCAACATACGCTCGACGTACTCTTCGACGGTGTGATCGACCCTTGTGTTAACGTCAATAAGGTCGATTGAAGAATGTCGACAAAGTCGTCCTTCTCATAGGTTAGGCCGTATTCAGTCTCCGGATCCGCCATTCATAGGTGCTTGGTAGCAAGAATCGTCACAACTTGATGGTGCACTTGGAGATAGTTGAAGAGAAAGAAGTTTCTCTTGCAAGGTGGAGGGAGGAGAGCCAAGACAAAAATTTGAAATAACTTTCAGAGTTTGTAAGGGGTGTAGAGTTAATGAGAAAGAGAGGAGTTTGGAAAGAGTAGGGGGTCGGGTAAGGGGATGGGGCTGGCGGCTATGAAGAGGATGGGGAGGGATTGGTGGGAGGTTATTGGAGTTTCTACGTTTGGGTTTAGGAATTTGGAAAGATTTGATTAGATCCAATTTAATTTGAAAAATTAAATTGAGATCTATTAGGAAACTTTCCTAAAATAGAGTCATGCAAATATGAAGGGGTTTGAATATCAAATTTAATTAATTTGGATTCCAAGTTGACTCCAAATTAATTTAAAATAAGTTAGAAGATCCAAAGGAGGCAAGTGGGATGGGGGGCTGGCGGTATAGCCTAGTAGGACCGGCAGTTAGAAGAGAGATAGAGAGGAGATTTGGGGGAATTAATGAAGCATCATAATTTAATTTCATGAGATAGGAAATATTTGATCAAATCCTTTCTCATTTAAAATGCAGATAGAAGCTCATTAAAGCACTTTCCAAAAATAGATTTAGTAAATTAGGAAGGATTTTAAATTTCAAATCAATTGAATTTGAATTTCAAATCCATCTAAATTTGACCCAATCTAAATTAGGAAATGAGGTTTGAAGGGGAAGGAGTGGGGGAGGAGGAGGCACGAGTTGGATGGGGAAAACGACGGGTGGTGTGGCTCGGCCGTGAGTGGGAAGGGGGCTCGAGTAGGGTGAAATCCGGCGGCTAGATGAAAGAGGGGAAAGAGGGAAGAGATAGGGGATGGAATCACGAACCTGACTTATCTAGGTTGGTGGGTATTGCGCCAATCTCCCTCTCCTATAGATCTCAAAAATTCTCTCCAAGAACTCTCAAATGCTATCAAACACACGTGTAATAAAATTTCATAATAATCATTCATTACATTGAAAATAAAACATGAGGGTAGAAATAACCAAGTACATATGACTCATGAAAATAAAAGACCAAATTGCCCTCCGGGCTTACATACGACATCTCTCACTAAATGGGTACAACTAGAATTCTAACAAAACAAATACACGACATTGAAAATAGAAAAATACATAAATAAAATAACATAAATAACTCAAAAGTACAAAGACTCGATCGTGGCCGTAGATCGGCGGTCATGCCTTTGATAAACCTTCCACGAACTAATATCCTCATCATTCTCCCGAGGTGGGAGAAAACTCGAATCCGTCGAGTAAGTATCTCTGGTGCTCTCGAAGATCTCTATTGCATCTGGGTCAATCTGTTGCAACTCCTCACGATCTAGTCACGTATCCTCTGACCCGGGCTTTCCTTTCAATCTGATCAAATACCTCATTCGTCCACCTTCTCTTGTGGATATGATCTCATCACTTACGATTGCATCCACCTGCTATGCCATTGGTGATTTAGGAATATATGGTAGTGGAGGTAGGTTTGGGATCTCACAGGGCGGGTTCACACAATGCTGTTTTATAAGTAGATTTGACAATTTAAAATCAGGGCCTTCATATGCAACTAAATCTTCTATGTTAAAAGAAAGATTTATATTGAAATTTACATGCAGATCTACTACATAGACATTATCGTTAATTTTCTTAAGTATTTTGAAAGGTCCAGCACTCTTGACATGCAACTTCTTAACTGTTCCCGGGGTGAACCATTCCGGACGAATTTGCCCCATCACAGAGTCACCAATCTCAAACGTTTTAAAGCGTTGTTTCAAATCTGCATGTAGTTTATATTCATTATTATTCCTTTCAATTTGTTATGCTATTTCCTTATGAAGTTTATGCAAATGAGATGCAAATGATGATGTAGACTCAGAAATCATAAACCTAGAAAACATGGGTATCAGAACTAACGGTTGTCTAGGTTTGAACCTGTATACAATTTTCGAAGGACTTAGACCCGTGGTCAGGTTAATGGAATTATTATAAGCAAACTCAACAGTAGGCAAAATAGAATCCCAATCTCTAATGTGCTCGC